CCTGAGGGCTGAGTCCCATTCGTGATAAAAATACTCAGAGCTTAAAATGTTACTTCTCCCCATGTTTCTGTATTGAGTCAACAAAATCCCCACAAAAATTGTTGGACTTTCCTGTGGAAATTGACAAACTGACTAAGATTTTTCAAATCAGTATTTTTCAAAGGAAGAAGGTATGTTTGTTTGGTTTTTTTTGCAAGGGGAAATGGTATAATACAGGACACATATTTTATAAGATTATTTATAATAGTCATCCAAAGAATCATATACAAGAGAGTGAAGGAAATCTGTCCACACAATAGAGACCAAAAAATCCAGCTCAGGGCCTGGATTCCACGATAATGTTCTACAGGAGTTCCACCTGAAGACCTAGAGCTCATAACAATGCCTCCCACGAGTCCAACTGGAGGCCAAGAGCCCATAACAATGTCTCATGCAGGCCTGTTTCACGGATCTGCACTGGGAAGGCCCAAAGGTCAGTGGCGGAATCTAGGAAGTCTGTGCCAGTGGGATGAAGGATCTATGCTAGCAGGCTGAGGGATCTGAACTGGAGCCAGGAAGCAACACTCAAAGTAAGAACCAGAGCACCCCTGAGAAGTACCACAGCCATCCTTAGCAACAGTGTGGTCCTGAGGTCCTCCGATGGTAAAGCCAGCCAAGTTCCTATCAGGAAAGTCAATGTAGCAAGCTTTTCCAGGAGACTGGCATTGTACCATCTCCCCCTCTGGAGCCAGGAAGTGATGCTCAGAGTGAGGACCAGAGCGCCTTCAAAATGAACTGAAGATATTCTCAGTGCCAACAAGCTCCCGAGCTCCTCGAAGGATGAAAACGGCTGAGTTCATCAGGAAAGCCAGCATGATGAGTTCCTCTGACAGAACCCACAGCTCCTTGCAGCATCCACCAGCTCCCAAGAGCCTCACTTCTTCTCCAGTTTTGCCTCTTATGCTGCTGGCAACAGTCCCCAGCTGGGCCTCCCATACCCAGCACCACACTTACTCCGTTCAGCTGAGTGTTACAAGTTGACCACCAGTTGTCAACCTACCACAGAAGAAAAAAGAGGGAGGGAGGAAAGGAAGGAAGAAGGAAAGAAAAAAGGAAATAGAGAAAGTGCAAAGTCACGATAGGACAGCGACAGTGGAAACATACTCACCGGCTGGAAAAATGCTTGCAAATCACACAAATTATAAAAGAATTACATTCAGAATATATAAAACTCTGTGGATCCACAAATAAATAACAAAAATATTTACATGAGAAAATTATTTAGCCAGGCCACAGAAGATCTATGGATGGTGGGCAAGCAAAGGAGTACACGCTGGACACCTCAGTCCACTCGGAGTGCAAATCCATGAGACGCCACTACACACACCTTAGAATGCCTAACATTAAAAAGACTAACCACACCAAGTATTGGTGAGAATGGGAAACACTGTTTGCTGAAGCAAACAAAATAAACACATGTGCTACAGCTCCATATTCACTAGGGAAATACCCTGCAAAACGGAGGTACAGTTGAAGTATTCATAGGCAACCAAACCTAGAAGATTAGCTGCCAGCAGCTCTGCACTTCAAAAATACTAGTGGGATTTCTTTGGGAAGAAGGAAAATAATACCAAAAAACTCAGACCTAAGTAAAGCAATGGGGGTACACTAAATGGTAAATACACAAATCAATACACAGGCTTTTAAAAATAAATCTTTCCAATCCCTTGAAAATACCATTGGCTGTTCAAAGCAAAACCAATAGCTTTGTGCCTTGGAGTTTGTAGCCTAAGTGAAATTAGAACTCTGGGGAGCACAAAGGAGGGCAGGGAAAGGGGCACCCAGTTGTGTGAGGATCTCCCATCACACCTGAGGTGGCGTGACCCACCCAGGACAGCTCATGGAACACGCACTCTGCCGCCAGAGACGCCACCACGGGACACACACGCTGCTGCCACAGGACATGCACGCTGCCGCCCCTGCAGCGAAGTGAAAACTAAACAGTATCGCTGACAAGCCAAAGGTGAATCGCTGAATCAGTCCCAAAGCATCAAATACAAGAAAAAACATAAAGTCAAAGAACGCAAACAGGAAACAAATAGCAAGATTGTATTAACCTCAGCTACACTGACACCGCAAGCATCGTCCTCTGCATACCTCAACCAAAGGACCGCTCTCGAGGGAGGGTGAATAAGGCCCGATGCAGCACGTGCTGTCCACAAGGGTCCCTCTCTAGGGGCCAGAAAAGCCACAGAAAGAGGAAAGAAAGCGGGCAGAAAGAATACGCTGGGCAAACACTAAACGTAAAAAGCTGGAGTGAGCTGGGGATATAGCTCAACAGGGCAGCACCTGCCTGGCAAGTGCAAGGTCCTGAGTTTCATTCCCTGTCCAAAAAAAAAAAAAAAAAAAGCTGGAGTGGCCACACAACATCAGACACAGTGGACACTGGGATGGGGGATGGCACGAGGTAAAGAGATGCATTACCTTCTATAACGAGGACAACGCACAGAACACGTAACAATGACACATGTGTGCATCTATCTATCTATAGATAGATAGACAGATATACAAGAACATAGCTTCAAAGCATGAAGTAAAACCTAACAGGGTGGGAGTGTAAAGCAGTCAAACCCAAATTCATTTTTATGTGCTGAGTGGAAAGCTTTTCTTTTCTTTCTTTCTTTTTTTTTTTTTTTTTTTGGTACTGGGACTCAAACTCAGGACCCTGTGCTTGCCAGGCAGGTGCTTGTGCCACTGAGCTATATCCCTGGCCCTGGTACTGGGGATTGAACCTAGGGCCTTTACCCTATACTATATTTCCAGCCCCTTCTTTCTTTTATATTTTGATACATGGTCTTACTAAGTTGCTCAAACAGGACGTGAAATTGTGATCCTCCTGCCTCAGCCTCTCAGAGTCATGGAATTACCATTATTAATAGAATACATAAAAAAGTAATAAAGACAGAAGGTGTGAACAAACAAAAGTCAACCAAATAGACTTAGCTGGCATCCACAGATGCCAAAACAGAGCAATGTTTTTATCATATGCACATGAATGTTCATAATTATAGATCATAGGACTGAACTCATACAGATGCGATGTGTCCAAAAAGGAATTACATTAAAATTCATAACAGAAACACACCTGAATTTCTCCAAACATTTGGACACTGACACAGAACTAGACACGTGGGTCACAGAAGAAACCACATGAGAAAAGAGAGTCAATTAAACTCCAAAGGAAGGAAAGTGAGAGAAGTCTGCACACCAATACACACAGCAGGACAAGGCCGCACTTAGAAGGCAGAGTACAGCATTGGACAACCACACGCCCCACGACTGCCTGGAGACAGAAAATACAACCTGAGGTAGGGGGAGGGGAGAACCAGAGCTGCTTCGGAGGGAGCAGAGGCCAGGCCCTGCTGGTGCCTTGGTCTTGGGCTTTCCAGGCCCTGGCACAGAGAGCCAGCGCCTGTCCCTTGTACACTGCCCAGGCCTGGGGTTCGTCAGCACAGCCCAAGTGCACTAAGACGTCCCAGGTAGCCCTGGCCTCGTGCCCATTTCTGGGTGTTTGAGAATACGCCAGACGCCTTCCCTGTGAGGGTCCCTCCAGTCTGGAGTGTCATCCCTGCCTGTAGCTCCTGTGCAGGGCCTCGAGCTGGCGCCCTGGTAGATGGGGAGAGGGGCTTTCCCAGTCCCACCTCCTCTGACTCACACTGTCTTCGTCTCCAAGGCTGAGTAACAAACAACACAGCTGGGATAAACACAGCTGTGTCCTCTGGTGGTTCTGAGCCATATGTCCCAGGTGGGGCCACTGTGGGGGAGGGGAGGGACCGCAGCCTCCCCTGTCTTCACACAGCTTCTGCTGCACGTCCTCCGGGGACACTAGGCATTGTGGGTCATCTCACAGGGCCTGGGCCCGTGGTGCCTCTTGGGAACACCCTGTGAGGGCCCCAGGCTGGGCAGCCCTGCCCATCTCCAGCACAAAGTTGACATCTCGTACAGCAGGGCAGGTGTAACTGGGGAACCCCAATGAACACACCTGCACCCGCTTTCCAGTCCTCCAGGACGGGCTGCAGGAGTCCCAGCCAGACGCCCTCTGGCCTCGGCACTGGCCCGGTGCCCCCTCTGGGCCATTTGGGTCTGAGGTCGAGGTCGTGGCCCAGGGACTGAAGGGCCTTTGTGCCCTGGGGCGATCTCCACCCTCAGGGCTGAGCGGGAGCACGGCAGAGGCTCCAGGTCAGCCCAGTGGAACCAGGGCTAGGACAATGGGGCTCATCACAGCCCCCAGAGCTTCCTGAGACACGAGGGCTGTGGGCGTGGTCAGCAGTCCTAGGGACACAGTCCCGGGGCAGGTCACTGACACATCTGCAGGTGGCGTTTCGACCTCGTCTCCGTGGGTTGCTGCGGGCGCCCTCCCCAGCCAGGTCCCAAGCTCAGAAGGGCCTGAGGGGGCACCTGTCTGCGTCCCCGTGGAGGTCTCCTCAGCTAGGGTGGGGACCCCGGGCAGGAGGAGACCCGGGCCCATTCTGCTCTCCCCTCCTTCCTGGTTCCTCGGATTCGTAAAGAGCCAGAGAACTGTCTTACTTTGGCCCTCGTTGATATAGCCCGACCTAGACCTCGCGTACGCACGGACCCCGGAGCCGCCTGGGCATCGTGTCGGGGCAGGCACCTACCACGGACCGGGACAGCGCAGGCGCGGCCAGAGAGGCGGGGCTCCGGGACGCCCCGCCCACGAGGGGGTCCCGCCCCGCCCACGTCACCACCGCCCGCCCG